TTTCCTTTGCCAGACTGGGGAAATTTTCCTTTATTATTTGTGCAAATAAGTTTTCCACTGGTGGCTGTGCCTTTCCCCCTTCTGGTACCCCTATAATTCGGATATTGGAGCGTTTAAAGATGTCCTGGAGGTTCCTAAGACTCTCCTCATTTCTTTGAATTCTTGCTTCCTGACTCTTTTCTGTTTGGCCATTATTTTCTTCCTTCTGGTCCACTCGATTGATTTGAGTCCCAGTTTCCTTTCCATCACTATTGGTTTCCTGTGCATTTCCCTTCATTTCACTTAGTTTAGCCTTTATTTGTTCCTCTAATTTGTGACTAAAATCAACCAGTTCTGTGAGCATCCTGATCACCAGTGTTTTGAACTGTGCATCTATATTGCTATCTCTTCTTGTCATTAGAAGTGCTCTGGGGCGAGCTAGCCTTTGTTCCTCTAATTTGTGACTAAAATCAACCAGTTCTGTGAGCATCCTGATCACCAGTGTTTTGAACTGTGCATCTGATAGGTTGGCTATCTCTTCTTGGTCATTTAGAAGTATTGGCTCTGGGGCTTTGAGCTGTTCTTCTGCTTGAACCATAATGTTTTGGTCAGGTCATGCCTGTTACTTATGAGGGGCAAAGGCTTGGGTGTTCACCAGGGCCGGTCTACCCAGTTGCTGGGTTGTGACAGGAGGCAGGGGTCAGAGAGGGAGCAATGGCATTCGTTCCCCTCTTTATCAGATTTCGAACCCCTCTGCTGCTTCCTACAAGCAAATTGGGCCCTTCTGGTGCTGGTTACCAGGTGTGCGGGCTTATGTACCCTCCAGGACCCTATGGGTCTCTCCAGCGAACTCTCTGTGAGCCTGGAAGCTTCTCCCAGCACCTTGACCCTGAAAGTTTTTTCAATTGGTGCTTTTAGGCTTTATTTCCTGTTGCTGGGGCCCTGGGTTGTGCGGTATGTCTCACTGCCCATTATTTTTGCCTGGTTTATCTGTGCGCGAATGTATGTCCACAGTCAGCCAGCCGCCTTGTGCCCTCACGGGGTCCACCCGTTGCCACCCTGCGCCTGGGATCCGCCAACCTCTGCCTGCGCGCCTGGGTGCGCTCCTGGGTCTGTCTGCCTACCTTTTCCTGCCCAATCTGCTCCACCCTGCTCCACCAGCCGCTGGCTCCACCGTGGTCTGGCTGAAAGGTTCGTTGCTGTCGGACTTCCACACAGTTCAATTTTCTGTTTCTGTGTTTTGGTAGCGTTTTTTTTAATGCTTTTTTTTTTTTTTTAATTTAGAGAGGAAGGGAAGGAGAGAGGGAGAGAAATATCAATGTGTGGTTGCCTCTCATGGGTCCCCTACTGGGAATTGGCCTGCAACCCAGGCATGTGCCCTGACTGGGAATCTAACTGCAATCTTTTGGTTCGCAGCCCCTCGTGCTCAATCCACTGAGCTACACCAGCCAGGGCTTTGGTTGCATTTTTGTTAACAAAACTGTGTTGTCTTTAAACTTTGTTTTGCAAGGAGGCACAATGTTTCCACCTATGCCTCCATCTTGGCTGGAAGTCCCCATTTGCAAAAGCAAATGCTGCTTTAGGGAGGTGAAGCACCATATTTACTACTAGCAATGAAGCCAAGATTCACACTCAGGTCTGACTCCAATACCTATACTGCAACACTGTTCTTGGTTTTGCTTACATATTCCTTATGTACTCATTAAAAAATGAATGATGTATGTCATAGCCACAACAGGTTACGGAAAGTACCACAAATCCATAATAAAGTTAGATGCAATAAAACGCTGTTTCTGGGATTTGTTTTTGAAAATTGGCCAAACGTGCATCTTCCATTTCAGTTTAGACCCTGGAAATGGGTTCTATTACTTTGTTTCCATTACAAAGACTATTTGCCAAAGTGTATTTTATCAACTTCAGAAGGGTAGTTCAGATCATAGCTCTAGAGCTGAGGCTTCCATTCTGACTCATCCACTTATTTGCTGGTGTGCCCTCAGACACACGGTATTCCTTCACTTCTTTTTGGTACCTGTCTAAAACAGGATTCATTTGTAATAACTGTCCTCATGCATTTGGCAACTGCAAAAATTAATTGAGTTTAGTACATATAAAGCCCTTAGTTGACATATAAGTTCTCAAAAAATGTTACCTCACATTGTCCAAATTCAGTCTTATTTAAGCCCATGCATACTTCCCTTTGTTTCAAAAATAGACTTTTTCTTTTAGAGCAATTTAAGACTTACTACAAGATTCAGGGGAAGGTACAGATATTTTCTATATATACTTACCCCCTACCCTTGCCACAGGACATATGCACAGCCTCCCCCCATTATCAACAATCCCCACCAGAGTGGAATGTTACAAATAATGAACCAACACTGACGCATCATTAACACCCAAGTCGATAGTTTACATTAGGGTTCATTATTGGTTTGGTACATTCTATGGGTTTTGATAAATGTATAATGTTGTGTATCTACCATTAAGGATCATACAGAATCATTTCACTACCTTAAAAATCCTGTGCTCTACCTGTTTCTGTCCAGCCCCTGGCCCTGGCAACTATTAATCTTTTCACTGTCTCCTTAGTTTTGCCCTTTCCAGAATGTCATATAGTTAGAATTATACAATATGTAACTTTTTCAGATTGACTTCTTTCACTTAGTGACATGCAGTTAAGTTTCCTCCATGTCTTTCCATGGCGTGATCATTTGTTTTTAAGCACTGGCTAGTATTCCATTGCATTTATAAATGTACCAGAATTTATCTATCCATTTACCTCCTGAAGCACGCCTTGGTTGCTTTCAAGCTTTGACAAATATGAATATAGTTGCTATAAATACTGATGTGCAGGTTTTTATGTGCATAAGTTTCCAACTCATTTGCGTAAATACCTAGGAATGTGACTACTGGACTATATGGTAAGAACATGTTTAATTTTATGAGAAACTGCCAAACGGTCTTCCAAACTGGCTGTAGTGTTTTGCATTACCACTACCAACAAATGAGTATTCCCCTACTCACTAGCACTTGGTGGTGTAATTGTTTTGAATTTTAGAATTTTAATAATTGTGTAATGCTATCTCATTGTTGCTTAAGCATTTTTTTCTGAAATACATTTATGAGAAATGCACCCCCAAATAGAAGGATAATGTAGAGTACTGGTGAAACTGTACATCTGGCTTAAAATCTAAACAAACCTTTTTCTAATCCCCTATCAGGACAGTTTGCTCCTCCCCCCATCCCAATGTTCCTTTAATGAATTAGTCTCACTTCCACCAAGTCTTTTTTTCTGATCAAAGGTGGCATTTTTCTTTTTTTAAAAAAAATTATCTCTTTTTAGAGAGAAGGGGAGAGAGGAAGAAAAGGAGAAAAACGTCAATGTGTGGTTGCCTCTCACGTGGCCACACTGGGGACCTGGCCCACAACCCAGGTATGTGCCCTGACTGGGAATCCAAATGATGACCCGTTGGTTCACAGCCCACGCTCAATTCACTGAGCTACACCAACCAGGGCTTTCACCAACTCTTTCAACTAAACTTCATATTCAAAGGAAACCAGGTTGCATAGATCAAAAAGAGATAAAATAATACAGAAAAACAAGTCACTGAATATTAACTTCATTAGTTATTTAAGACCAATTTAGATGTATACATTCATATTCTTGAGAGCCTCCATCTGACTTTTACAACAAATAGTGACTGCATTCCCATAATGACAATGTAGGGTTCATGGGTCTACCCGTAATTGTTGGATACAATTTCTATTAGCGAATTCTAATTTTTGAACTCCTGTAATCCCAGTTGATAAAAGCAGAGTACAATAAATCTAGTTTTATAAACAAGTAAAATGAGGGCAGAATCATAGAGCTTCAGACTACTCAATCTTTTGATTTCCAAAGCCCTGTAACTCTAAAAACAAAATCTTTGCTGGGGTCTCACGAAGTTTCTTAAAGGCTGGCCTGAGGGCGGGGTCTGAGTACGGGTGTTCTCTAAGATCTTCCCAGATACAAAATCAGCCAGCGTAGAAAAGTACGTTAAGACGACTGTCTGTGCACTACAGACCAGCATCTTCCAACACTCAGGCTGCATTTTCCCAAGAATTGCATTATATCACACGCCCAAACAGGTTACATTTGATTTTAAGCGTCTCAGGCAAAGCAGACGAAGCGTGTAGGGACAAACACACAATTCCAGGCTTTCTTCTGCACTCAGACCCCGCTTTCAAGCCGAAACTCGGCCGCGCGCGCGCGCGGAACCCAAGTTTCTCCAAAATCAGAAGGACAACAGTTGCGAATATATATGTATATATATATATATATATATATATATAATAATATATATATATATATATATATATATATGTATATATATACATATATATCTTATCAGCAGTATATATGTATATATACATATATATGTATGTTATATATATCCTATAAGCAGCAGGAGGATGATCCGTATCGACATTTCTCAGCAGAAGGAGAGGAAGACAATAGCAGACCACAAACATCGCTACAAAGGCCTGGCCTAAAGCTCCGAAAATTTGGAATCATTATCACTGCAATAAACCGGGATCTTTTTTCGCGCTGCCACACGGACGGAAGTGATGTAGCACCTGGCTCGCAGGGCCGTCCCAAAGGAGAGGAGAGCGGGAGGGGGAGCGTGCGGGGGCTGGGGGCGGGGCGCGGCCTTAGCTCCGTTTCCGGTGGCTTGTCGCGTCCGCTTACTCTAGCTGCAGCCACTCTTGCCCGTGGTTGCTTCCTCCATCCTGGTATTTTTTGGAGCCTTCATCCTGGTTCTTCCAAAGTGCCCGGACCCAAAACAGGAAGTAAGTGCGATGGAACCCTCAGGTTCCAACCGCCGCTAGGGCCGCTCCGCCCAGTGGAGTCTGTCCGGCCCCCTTGCTGCTCTCCTGCTCCCTCCGGCCGGCGCTAGCTGCCGGCCCCCGGGCACCGCGGGCGGGGTCGCTGCTGGGCCTTCGTGACGCTGAAGCTGCAGTCTCCGCACGCTCAGGCCAGGGCCTCCCTCTTGGGGCTGGGCCTGTGGTGCTGGCTTGGGCTGCAGAGTAGGGTAACGAGCGGCCGCCAAGGCAGAGCAGTCCTGCGGGGGCGGAAAATGGCGGCGGCTTTGGAGGAGCTAAATGGCGCCGGGACCCCTGGGGGTGGGGTGGGCCTGGATCTTCGGTAGAGAATTGGGCCCGGGAATGCGGAGAGTGAGGAACCCTTCCTTGCTCCCTGTGGTGTTCTCTTTTTTCTTTTCTTTTTCTTTTTTTTTTTTTGTTACCTTTCTGTTTGTATTGTGTGGTTCGGTGAAGAAGTCGTGGGTCTCGCCCACCCCACCCACCTTGATTTTTTTTTTTTTTTGCCCCTTGTTTGCGCCTTAGATTCTTCTCCCATCATTTTAGATTCACTGTCACTCAGCTATTCCTGGCCCACTCAGAGGACTCGGGGTTGCTGGTCGAACTGTCTCTGTTAGCCCGAGTCTCTTTTAAAAGGAGGGACATGGGCTGGGATTGCGGGAACAGTCCTAACCGAACAGAGAACCGTAATATGCGTTGGCAATAATTGTCAAGATTTGCCCAAGGTCTGAGGAAGTTTTTAAATTTTTTTAAACTTCCTATGTCCTTTAAAACAGACTTTAAATATCTCTCAGGGACGTAGAATGTTTTTAGCCCAGGCTCCAGCATAGATTTGAGAAGGGTGTCCCAATGCTTCTCTATGCAGTTGGATGATGATACAGCGTGTGTTTTTTAAATAAAAAATGATCGATGTAGAGTAGGAGAGGGTGATAATATTATCAGTACTCCCTTTCCCTGATTGAATTTGGAAATTTCAGTTTCAATGTGTGGTGGTTTTTTTCCTAATTTGATTGATCGTCGTGTACCTCGTTTCTGACAGTAGGCGAGGCTTCGTGTTGGGATATCCGACAATGTGCCTATTCTGTAGGATTACTTTCTAATCATTGTTAAAGCATTGTCTAAATCATTGTTAGAATAGTACCATTTGTAATTTTTTCCATTTGTGAATTTTTTTATCTTTTGCTAATGATTATACCTTTAATTCTTGTGATTCTATTAACCACTTAGACCTTTTAAGATCCAGTCCACGTAAGAAAATGTTCTTCCGTTGTGTTAAGTTTTACAAATAAAATCTGTTTTTCTTTTTCATTTATGGGTTGTCCTATTTCTTTTCGTTACTTGAGCTTATTTGAGCTGGTTTTAAATTTGCGTTTCAAATAACTTTATATTACTATTTTAGTAATTCGAGCAGTTTGCCACCGCTTTAGACTGTTGATAATAACACCAACAACTCAGCTTTTTACTATTATGTTGTAGCAGTGTTAAGAATTTTTCTATAGTAGGTTAAGATTTAGAAATTTAGTTAAGATTTAGGGAAAAAATTAAAGTTACACTTCTTAACATTACAAAAGCCGTCAGACTGTGTTTTTAAAAAATAAAATAAAAAATAGGCTGCCTGGTATGAGAATAAACTTTTTCCTTTATTCATAAGGGACAAAACAATAGCTTGATCCTTTCTGAAAAAAGCATTATTAGCTTGGGGGAAAAATGCATTTTATGTTTTGTGGTTATTTTATCTCATTATTTTAACTCCCATATACTAAGTGCTTTTATTTGCCACCAAACAAATTTTAGTTTATTTTATTTTGTTACTATTTTAGTTGATAGGCTCATTCCAAAATGGGGGGGGGGGGGCTGATCTAGACCTGCATATCCAGCCTGCATCTCTTTAATTGATTGCTGTTGAACTAGATGGTGGAGACAAAATGCTATTGCCCTATCTTCATCAACAGTTAATTAGTAAGTACTGGACATTGCATACAGAACTTAGAACTTTGCGTCCATACTTTAAGCAATTACGTGAATAAGTATATGCTATGTAAACATTTTTCTCTAGGTGTTCAGGTTTTCTAAGTATTCTGAGGGGAATCATTCGAAAAGGTTTTGGAGTCAGGAGTTGAGCTTTGAAGGGAGAGCATGGCTAGGACATGGTTATGTCAGAATAAAGTCATTCTCTGTTTAAGATGGAGAAAGGTTACCTCATTTCACTTCAAGGCAGATAAATATATTTGTCAGGTTACTTAGATGTTACTAGTATTGAAATAAGAACAAAACTAGTTCTTACCTTCCCCATGTAATGCTTATCTTTCTACTCATTTCATTTATCTCCAAGATCTACAGATCTCAGTTTTTATTAATGTTGTAATAAATCTGTCCTAAAAGTAGCATCTTGTCATTTTGAACACTTGCTTTTGTCATGCTCCTTTAAGTACATTGGTTTAACACTTGTGAAGATGAATAAGATAGTGTGAAACAAATGTCCTTAGGGATTCACAGCCTGGCACATAAATGTTAAAATATTAAGGGGTTGGGAAGTGTTTTGAAAATTGTGTGTTGTAAAGACATCAGAACTTTAGAACAGCCCTTGCTGGTGTGGCTCAGTGGATCTCGAACCAAAGGGCCGCAGGTTCTTTGATTCCCACTCTAAGGTACATGCCTCTGTTGCAGGCCAGGTCCCCAGTGGGGAGTGCATGAGAGGCAACCACACATTAATATTTCTTTCCCTCTCTCCCTCCCTTCCCCTCTCTAAAAATAAATAAATCTCTTTAAAAAATTCTTGAACAGCAATAAAGTATAGGAAGAGTTCCACTTTAAATATATAGAAGCTGCCTATTTAATAATTTATACTGGGGGTTGTTAGCCTCCCTTCTCAAAAATGGAGTTTTCTTTTCATACACAATTTTATCACCATCACATTTAGCACTTTATTTTTCCATAAAAAAGGATTCCCTATTATTCTGAATGCTTTGCAATTTTAGCTCCAAATCTTTTCCTATCCCCAAATGATATGAAATGACCTGAGAAAATGATGAACCTATTGCACTAACTATAAAATACAGATAGTTAAAACGTGTGGCATTTGTTTGCTTTAATATCATTTCTCCCCCTTTTTCATGTTTTTTCCTTTTGTGAAGAGAAGTCTTGTAATAAAAATCACAAATAAGTTTTGTTTTGCTTTGATTGATTTCATAAAGATAAACAGTAAATTGAAATAAAAGAAAGCACTTATTTATCAAGTTGACGTTTTTTTTGTTTGTGGAGAGAGAACTCATCCTGTGACTGGATACCAGAAATAAGTCAGGAAAAAGTACACTGAAGAGCCCCTTATGAACGATGTGGTTTTTGTTTGGAACATTATCCCACCCCCACCCCCATTTTTTCCAGTCATTTTGGTTATGTACTGTGTTGTGTTGTCTGCCCATGCTTCTAAGCACCAGGCCGTCAAAACTAATCTTTATTTAACTACCATCAGGTGTTAGTAGCAAAAGAAATGCTCATTAGGTTTATGTACTGCCTATGAGTATTTTAATGTCTGTTGAGGAAATGCACTTTAAAAATCAACTTCAGTGTAAATCAAGGACTATAGTGATAATTTAATGTATTTCCTTGAAAGATCTTCTGGTACTGCTCTGCATAAAGTGCTAAGTTTTAAATTGGTGAAACTGTAAAATGTAGCCAACTATACACATAATTTCACAAAGCATTCACTGGGTGAAAAATAACATTTTTGGTTTTTAATAAACAATATGATTATATTGCCAAACATATAAAATGTTACTCCTTGTAACACTGCCAAGTAATTCTCTTTAATAATGATATTGTTTTCAGTTGTTGATCATTGAAATCAACATCTTAAGTAATTCAAGTCTATTATAATAAACTCCATTGACATTTTTATTGCCTTTTCATGGTGTATAGTCAGTCGTATTTTACCATCTTAAAACCAAGCCATAATGAGCATTAATTAGGTACCTTAATTCAGTATGCTTTATGTTGTTTATAGCTGTGCTTCTTAGACTTCCACAAAATATACAAAAGAACAAATCCCCTGGGACCATATTCCAAAGCATTCAATTTCGATGTCCCCCCATTCCTATCTTGAATAAAATTAATATTCAAGGTTTATTTTGTGGCTTTGTTGGGGTTGTTTTTGGCATTCTTCTATGTAACCCAGTTTCAGGATATATCTGGTCACCTTTATTTTCAGAATATATTCTAGGTTATCTGGTTATTTCATTCTTCCAAAATAAAAATATCTTAAAACACATTTTTTAGATTTTTTTCATTATATGTTACTAAGGAAATCCCCTTACAACCACTTTCTAAGGTATTTCTTATATGCAGTGATAGGCATAATGATGGTCAATATGGAGTCTGTATAATAGTAAGACCTCAAACAAAAGTGTTCAGTAACATGTTAATGATTAGGTAAATTTAGATACTATGTATCCACTAAAAATGCTGTGGAAGAGTGAGTAGTAAATATAGAAAATGCTCCTAATAAATTCAGTGCAAAAACAGTTGTAAAAGATGTGACAGTAGGATCTCATTATTGTAAAAACAACTAAAAATAGAAATGTTAATACATGAAAAAAGACTTGAGAGCCCTGACAGGTGTGGCTCCATTGGTTTGGCATTAACCTGCAAAGCAAAAGGTCGCTGGTTCTGTCACTGGTCTGGGCATATGCCGGTTGTGATTTTGGTCCCTGGTCACATGGTACAGGAGGCAACCAATAGACGTTTCTCTCACCAGTATTTTTCTCCCTTTCCCCTCTTTCTAAAAACAATTAAAATATCTTTTTAAAAAGACTTGGGAGATACCACAAAAAATTACAGAGGAATATGAGTTTTCTGATAATATATTGGGTCAGGAAAAAAGACATCTGAAAACTAAATGTGTCCTCACTGTCTTAGTTGAACTAAGCCAGAAACTTTGCCTCTTAGCTAGCGGTTCTCAATTCTTAACCCATCCAGTAAAATTCTGGTACTACATGTTCTGTATCTTGTGTGATTTCCCTTACAAAAGTATCTTCGAATAAATAGTGAGTTGTTTTTCACAGCGTGTAGTTTCATCCCATCTTTCAGTGCAGAATCAATTCCAAGCATCTAGGACTAGCAAAAGTGCCTGCGCTGCTCATGATCTTCATTAACAGACTCCACCTTTGTACTAGTATTGTGTTTGGGAAGTGATGCAAATTTATCTACAGAAGTAGTCCTAGAATTAGGAAGAAATGCCACTTTTCCTGGTTCTAGTTTTTAAACCTTTATCACTTAATTGCCTAGGATATCAGAACAATTAATGTAGATGGAGATACAGTCTAAAATAACCCACTGAATAAAGACTTTACATTAATGGAGTAGGAATGGCAAATGATGAAGTATTGTTTTCTTAGCATTAAATGCTGTGTTAAATAACGTATCTAAGTTCTTATCACTGAAATAGTGTCATCTTGTTCATTGGGCACTATAAATGAAGATTATATTTCTCATTTAAATGTGAGTATAAGTACTCCATTATAAATGTTTATGTACCATATTTCAGGTATTTCCTTGATTTTATAGGGTGTTTCTGGGTTAAGTTTTGGCTTAAGGGAAGCTGTGGCTAGATCTTCTATTCAGACCAGTGAAACTTCCCTATCAGCCACAGGCTGTTTTGCTTTCTTACAGTCCGTGTGTTCATTGGAGCAGCACTCTTAATTTCCTTCAAGAACTTCCCCAATACATTCCTAACTTTGGTAAAAGAGGCCTAGTTTTTGTCCTTTTTCAGCTTTCAACATGCCACCGTCACTAACCTTAATCATTTCTAACATTTTTGGATTTAAAGAGAGAGACATACCTACTATGCTTCTTTCCTTTAACACTTAGCAGCCGTTGTAGAGGTTAGTAATTATCCTCATCTCGATATTGTGTCTCTGAATAAATAGGCCTGAGGAGAGGGAAAAGGGGGGGAACAGCCAGTGGTGGGGCAGTCAGAACACACATTTATCGATTAAGTTTGCTGTCTTACAACGGTACAGTTGATGGCACCCCAAAACAATTCAATAATAATGCCAGAGATCACTGATTACAGATCACCATAACAAATATAATAATGAAAAGGTTTGAAACATGGTAAGAATTACCAAAATGTGACACTGACATGATGTAAGCAAATCACTGCTGGCAAAAATGGCACTGATCAAACTGCTCAACATAGTCACTGCAAACCTTCTGTTGTTTTGTTTTTTTTAAAGAGCAGTATCTACGACAAGAGCAGTAAATACAATAAAACAAGATATGCCTGTATTTGGCATGATTTGGTGGTTATTTTCTGGGTCTAGGAATGCTAAAAATTTTTTTCATGTAAATTAATGGTAATTGTTTCTCTGCTTTTACGCCACTTTAGCTTACTAAAGGTTTCATTGGAACCCTGTACTTTCAGATAGCAGGGTAGAACTGTACTTTCTTTCATCTAGCTATTTCATGTTCCTTTTTCCTTGCACTACTTTCTCTCCGTGTCTTCTCTGATCCACCTTTATTTTTCCCTCCAAAGTTTTAGATTAGCTTGGGTCCCAAGATGACATTAACTAAATGCTAAACCAGTAAACCATTTTGCACCTATCAAACGAGCAGTTGTGCTGTGTTTTTGCTTTGCGGTTTCTTTAAATAAAAATACTGGCAAGGGTAACAGGAGTAGAGTTTACACATCAGTGATTGGGATATAAATTTGTGCATCTTTCTGGAAAACAGATGGTAGTAGGACTTAAGACTTCATTTATTTTCATGTTCATTGATCTAATTTTCACTGATACTGTTTAAGGAAATAGGGTGTTTGTTTCAGTATTTCTTAAGGAAATGAAAAATTGGGAAGAACATAAATATCCAATGATAGAGTAACTGGTAAATAATGTTACTTTTTGTGTGTGTGCAGTGTAAGTTTTAAACCATACAGAATACTTCAGTTAAAGACCCATCTTGGTTTCCTTCACATACCTCAGTATGAAGGAATCCTAAAAAACTGGACATAAAATTCCTCATCCACTATAGTCTCCCTCACACCCACACACCAAAGACAGTGAACTCTGGTTTTGGTAAATTTATAAATGATTTTAGGGTTTTTTTTTTCATTAAATTTTTCTTCTGCTGTAAATATACAAACCAGCTTTAAAAAAAAAAAAAAAAGAACAACATGAATACAACAGCTGGCTGAAGGTTTTCTAGCAAGACCTATACCTTTTTCACTGCAGACTTACTTATGTATAGCAATTCTCAGATATAACCATCCTGGACAGGTGTTATTAGAACACTCCAAAGATTGGAATTTTAATCCTTAATTTCTGCTGAAACATCCATCTTGAGCCTCAAATCTCACTGAGTATGCTTTTGAACTTTTGGTTGACCCTTTGGGATGAAGATGAGAAGGTTATTAAAACAAACCTTCAAAAACCAATCATTTCAGGCTTTATAAGTTCCACGTTTCATTTGAAAGCTTGCTTGTGACTTACCTTTTCTAGCCTGTTTAGGACTTTTCCCCCCACAGATCCCTAGTCACTGTTGCTCACAGATACCATATATTTTTAACACTCTGAGATGCAATATGGTATTATGTAAAGAGCAGTGTTTTGTGTTTTTTTTCTTTTTGAATTTTTGTAAGAGTTTATTTCAGCCAAACTGATGACATATAGGAGGAGCAAGGTGTCAGTTGCTCTCAGGTGTTAATTATTACAAAGAACAGATACTGGTGCCCAGACCAGTGTGGCTTAGTTGGTTGGGCGTCATCCCACACAGGAAAAGGTTAAACTCCCACTCAGGGGACACTTGTAGACAGGCAACCGATGAATGTTTTTTTCCTCTCTTCCTCCCTTCCCTTCTAATAAATAATGAATGAATGAATGAAAAAATACTGGTAATATTTATGGTAATGTATTGCTGTACCCCCTGGGTCTTGTTACATGTACCTAAGTCTGTAGTTCATAGAACCACTAGCATAGTTCAACCCATGGTTGGCAAGAATGTTTGACTGATGAGGGACAACTGGGTTGAGAAACTGCCTTTGAAATTAACTCAATGGGTATAGGGATCTCATCATTTCTGCTTTTATTGGGAATACTTTTAGAGGCTGATTTCCTAAAGGTAAACCTACGAATGCGGGTTTTGTCATTTTTCTGTCATCAGCATATTGTCAGCATACACGTGTTCTACAAGCCTTACTGGGCAATGCTGTTCCTTTTTCAGTGCTGCAGCAGTAGGAGCATGGGGGAGAGACAGTCCGGATAACATGAGAGTGATGCTGGTGGCTAAGGGGAGGCGACTTGTTTCCGTGGGAAGGGATATAGCTGATCCATCTGTTTTCCAGGTAAGCCTGCCTCTGTTCTAAAGATCTCACCTCAGGATATGCACATTTTAATCATGACTAGATCATGATTTCTATTTCTATTTAATTTGGGAATGGCATCTTTATCATTGTAAAGTAAATGATATCCTTTTAAAACAGTAATTTGTACAGTAAAACTTTCGTGAATCACATGGGTGTTCACCATGTAAATGTTAATAGAGTCTAATCAATTCTGTGTTTTTCTGTGTAAGGAAAATGCATTTGTGTAAGTGGCAAATATATGAACACACTGATATCTTTTGTATAGGAGTCAAATAAATAATGAGTGATTAATTTAATACACATCAAGGCTATGTCCTTTATTATGGTAATTGGTAAAAAATTATGTGGGTAAGACCAAAATTAAGTATTGAAGCAGAAACTTCATTGAACATTGTAAGGTAAGCCTGAAGACTTCAACCAGGCCATGGATTGTAATTCAGTAAGTTTCTCCCTGTCCACCATGAATACTATATTCAACGACTGATCAACAAAAGGAAAAATATTATATGTGGAAAACAGCTTAAACAAAAACAGTTCCCTTTCAGAAGAAGGCCTGGCTCCATCTCTGTTAGAAAAGCAGTTTCCTCAATGCTGGCTCTATGTACTTGCTTAATGTTAATGAAAAAAACTTTAAGAAGAATTATTTAGTGTTTCTACTTGTCAGATAACAGAGCTTAAATACTTGTAAACGAGTGTTTTAGAGAAGCAGTTCTTAGATTAAGATAAAAGCTTTGATGAATCTTCTAAAGAATCAGAAGTTAAACATTTAAATATATGATAGAGCTGCCAGTAAAAAATAAAATGGTGAGACTTGCTGACAGGTGACAACTTCTGCTGTGTGTGGTAAAGAACAACTCTTGAAAAAGTGAATACTGTGGGTTTCTACTTAGTCATAACAGTCAATTCGTACAGATTATTCTAAATAGTGGGTATAAACTTTTAAAAACCATTGCTTGAAGTCGAAACTGTTACTGCAATTTCACATAAAGAACACTGTAGGCAGGTACAAATTATGGGGTTTGCACCAGCAGGGAGAAGTAGGGGAAATTAGAGGCTACCTCATGTTTGTATCTGGAAATAATTCTTACAATTCTAATCTGAAATTTGTTCTTGTACAGATTTGAGTATGAGCACAGTTGAAGAGGATTCTGACTCAGTAACAGTAGAAACTGTGAACTCTGTAACTTTGACTCGAGATACAGACGGGAACCTCATTCTTCACTGCCCTCAGAATGGTAAAAGAACTCGCAGACATAATTAGAATCTTCGTGGATTTCTTGATTTTATGTCACCTCTGACCTTTATTCTGCAGATAGACACTTTAGGCTAGGACGGTAGAAAAGAAAGTTATTTCTTTAGATCATGAATTAATCATAATTTTTATTTTTAAGAGCTTTTGATACATTTTTTAATTTACCATAAATTTTAACCTTTTATGAACAGCTACTTTATAAGTAGACTCTGTTGAGCCTCCTAAAATGGTGATGGATTAGATATAATATACTTCCTCACCAGAGTATATGTGGTATATTACAAAACGTAGAGGTAGTCATGTTGTGCCAATACAAATAAATTAACCTTTTTTTTTTTTTTTTTTTTTTTGCTAGAACCTGTGTTAGAGAATTTTAAGTGACTATCTGAATATGGTTTTATATGATCATATGTAAGGAATTAAGATTCAGCGGCCTTGGGGCTTGTGAATTCATTTCTCTACCTTTTTCTTATTTATAACTTATTTGTTTAATTTACTTTAAATTCACTTTTGCTTAACCTAGATTTTGTCTTCTCTTTTCAATCCATTCTTAATTCCTAGGTCATTTCATTCAAACTTGCGGTTTTAACTACCCCCTACATGTTAAAATGATTCAAACTTATGTCTTTTTTCTGAATTCTGTTTCTGAGAACCACCTTTAATGTTGCATATCCCAAACTGAATTCTTTCACAGAATTCTCAAATCTAGATCTCCCTTCCTTTCTCAATTTTATTACTTTTAGTATCCTAGATCATAAATACAGGTAGGAGTAAGTCCTCTCATCGCCCACATTCGTTCCATCATCAAGGTAGTTGATAGAATTATGTTTCTTGAATCAGTTCCTTCCTCTCTGTCTCAAGTCTTCCTTCCTTAGTTCCTTCCTTAGCTACCCCTTACGTGGGTAGCTTTAATAGCCTTTTAACCAGTCTCTTGTCTCTAATTCATCTTTCAAACTTCAGAGACATATTGGTTATGATACTCAACAGTGTAAGAAGGTTTTTAAAGCTTACCATGGTTTTTAGACTATAATTCAGATTCTTTCATTTGGCACATAGGCCTCCCATCATCTTAGCTTTCCTTCTGCCTCACTTCCTGCCATGTTTCACATGTCGTGTTCCACTAGTTCACGGTTATTTATTTGTACTTTCCTAACATACCGCAAGCTTTTCATACCTTACTGTCACTGTACACACTACTCCTACTAACAGTAATAATCACTTTCCCTGGCTCTGTTTCCCTTTTAAGTTGAAAACATGTTCTCCAGGAAACCTTCCCTCACCTCTAGTCTAAATTACAGTGCCTTTCCCGTCAGCTCATAACCACAGCCTCTTTATTCTACCTTCATAGCTCTTATTATACTATTTTAAAATTGTTAATTTAGTCACCTCAGTGAGCTCTTTGACAGGGTGTCTCTCATTGCTCTTGTCCCAGCATCTACCATATAGTAAGCATTCAGTAAATTTGTGAGTAAATTAAATATCGTGGTTTTTGCATGTCTTTACATGTGAAATATTTGGAAAACCAGGTAGTTGACAAAAATATGATGTCCAAAAAATGGCATGTTTGTCATAGTTCCTTGTCATGAGAATGAGAGCTGAGGTACTGCACTAGACATAGAGAAGGAAATAGTGTTTGGAGTCCCACTTTTGTGTCTGGGTTTAATGAAGTCCCACAATTGGTAAGAAGATTGTTTTACAGTCATTACTTGAAGATTTTCTGTTTTCCTCACTGTTTTGAACGTTTTGAGATTTCTGTTTTGTTTTGTTTCATCAGAAGCTGATGAAATAGACTCAGAAGATAGTACTGAACCTCCACATAAAAGGCTTTGTTTGTCTTCTGAGGATGATCAGAGTATTGACGATTCTGCTCCTTGCATATCAGTTGTTGCACTTCCACGTAAGTCACTATGTATTAAGAACAGAGTTTCCTTTTAAAATCAAATTTTAGCTTGCAAGAAATTTAATTGGCATTTGAAGGCAGACTTAAACCCATCATTTTTCTCTTCGTGTCATTAAAAAAAAACCTCTTTAACACTTAATGAGTGCTTATATAAGTTCTAAGTGTAGCTCTAAATGCTTTTACATACATTGTCAAATTTAATCTTCTCAACCTTTTTTTAATTATTGCCCCCACACCCCTACCTAGGAGTCTTTTCAAACATTTTTTCCCCTTGATCAAGCTCTCCCCCATGAAATTTTAATACCATGGATATATTGTACTTTTTTGAGATGTACTGTTTGTATATTCTTGTGTGGTTAATAAAGAGAATAAGATTTTTTCCCACCTATCTCCCAGGAAGCATATTTGCCCTCATTGAGAAAGCATGCTGCAGAGTAGGGACTGTTAAGGCACAGAGGAGGTGTAATAACTCGTCTAAGGTAATACGCAGCCATTCTAGTTCTTATAATTCATATTCTTAACTCCAGTGCCGTAGTGCCTCTTTATACGGTAAAGAGGTAAATGGAAGTTAGATAGGAGTCTGATTAGTTTATTCTCACTAAGAAAGTTTTAACATGTTTATATTCCACGATCATTTAGAGTAGACTAGATTCTAAGGAGGTACAGCATTTCAGGTGGAATACTGTTGGCAAAAGCCTACAGCCCAACAACCATGACATTAGATTGTATTTCTGATTTGTGTAGCAAAAAATACAGAATGTTGTTGAACTGTATTGTCCCTCAAAGCTGGAGCAGGTAGTCATGGCAATGGATTTGGGGTACAAGGCTCTGGGTGTCATTCTCTGGGTAAAGAAGAGTCTTGCCACATCTGAGAACTTTCATTCTGCGCTCAACATCAGCCAAAATCCAGTGGGGAAAAATTGAGACTAGGTTTTCATTGTGGAAAACCATGTTTTCACAAGTACATGTATACTTTGTATTTAAAGTTTAAATACATATTAAACTTACTGAAAAGAAATCCTTTTATATCAGTTTTCTGTGAGACTTTATTGAAAGATAGTGTTAATGTTCATATTGCTAATATTGCTTCCAGTTGTGACTATACAAACATAACCTATTTCTAATTAAATGATCTTTCCTCCTAATGATGATTCATATGATTTTTTAAAACTCTTTCCTAATTTGACTATCATTATATTGTGATTCAGTTTTAAAACTTGATTGGCCTATCTGTACAGATGAATTCCATATGGACATTTTCTAAGCTACAATTTTTTATTCAGCTATAATTGATAGGTAACATAATAGTCTCAAGTGTATAACATAATGATTCATTATAAATTGTGAAATTATCACAATAAGTTTAATTACCATCTATCACCACAGTTACAAATGTTTTTGTGTTGAGAACTTTTAACATCTACTCTCGTAACAGCTTTCAAATATACAACACAGTATTACTAACTGTAGTCACCATGCTGTATATTACATCCCCAGTACTGACTTTACTTTATTAAGCCAGAATTTTTTAGCTATTATTTTGACTAGTTGATTCATTTAAAGTATAGTGCCTTGATCATGGTTGTAGGTTCAAACTGTACTTGATAATTCTATTTTATTGTGTTGGTCTGAGTTCTTCACATCCTCATTCACATAAATGGCTAAGATAATACGGATGTGTTGACCTAAAAATACTTGAGCTGCTTGACGTTGGGTCATAGTATATCACAGATAAAGGGCATTCTGAAGCCTAATATTTACACTGAAACTGAATTCATGAAAAGCAGACTTGAAGTATTTGTATGTTCCCTGGATTTGTAAAAAGTACGTTGGTAAAATCAACTTAGAAGTTTCCACACTTAACAAGTCACATGAAAGCTTGAAGTCCTAGGGTGGGAGGATCAAGCAAAAAAAAGAAAAAAGCATTAACTCCTATATCCACCGTCATCTGGAACTGATTGAATAGGCAAGTCATTTTTGTTGGATTTCATGGAGATGAATATTAATTTTTTTTAATTTAACTTAAAACTTAACTCTAATATTTGGATTTTCTTTACATGCTAAATAAAACTGTAAGAGTTATCTGTCTGAAGCGAAAAGTCTCCCTGACTCTCAGGGCGACCAGGCTGGATCACTTGCTGACTGCTTGATTCTGCAGTCGTCCTCCAGCGCATTCTCACTCCATCCCCTGTTTGAGTTGTAACCCTCGGTGCTCACTCATTGAGATGCTTGTTGCCATACCTCAGCCTCCTGTTCCTTTTCTTCACACTGCCTCACCACTACAATGACCACTTTGCTATATTACGTATTAAATGGAGTCCACTTGTTTCCTATTTCAGATTTTGTTTCCTACCACTACGATGCTTCCAGCTTACTTCCTCTGATCCTCTGAAAACTCCTGTGATCCTTTGCCTCACTAGCATCTTTGATCTTATCACTTTTTCTGTTTGTATCCAGTTTCCCCTTTCCTGGTTAATCTTGTAATCACCATCTTGAAGTTACCAGCAAGTCCTTTTTTCCTTATCTTACTTCTTTGTTCTTTGGTGAAATTGCAACCTTCGTTAAATCTGCCTATTTATGTCTGTACCTGATGAGAGAAAAACAGCATAAGCAAACTGAGGGGTCTCACTTTAAATTGATGATCATTAACTTGAAGTGGGATCGAGATGTTGCCAGCCAGTCACACCACACCGCACTTCACCTCCCCCTCTGAGATGACTGTTTCATATGTACCAAAACCTCTGATACTTCCTCCACCATTTTTATTCTCAACAAATAACCTTGCTTCCTACTTAAGTTTTCACTGCCACAAATATACATCCACGTGTATCTGTGTCCATATATTATATCATTTCTCCTAGGCAGTGCTTTGATTTATTAGAGCCCATCCCTTTTGCCTATTCACAGACATTGTCGCAGTTCTTTTTCTCTTCTGAATCATCACTTGTTGCCTTCTCTCCTGGATTGTTTCCATTGGCATTATAAACATACTGTAATTTCTTCTTTAAAATAAAAAGTCCCATTAGCCTAGTGTTGGCTTCCATCCAATTTCTCTCCTTCCATTAAGAGCAGAATACCTTAAAAAGATGGCCTGTACTTGCTTGCTTCCATTTCTTCTTCCATTCTGCCTTAAACCCACTCTAGTCAGGCTTCCGCCTCTATCACTTCCCCAAAATTGGTCTTCCCAGGTCTCCAGACACCTTGTTGCTAAATCCAGTGGCGTTTTTTTTTTTTTTTTGTTTTTTTTTTCAGTCTTTGTCGTAATTGATCTGCCCACCATTTTTTCAGCTTGTCCACTTCTCGCTACCCTCTACATGTGGCACACCCCAGGACTCAGTTCTTAGACTGCTCTGTTTTCTGGTTTTACTCCCTAGAATTCGTTATTTTAAATCCTGTCTCTGGTGATGTCTCCCAGACTTATTCCAGTTCAGACTTCTTTTAATCCTCACTTGAGGATATGCTTACTGATTTTAGAGAGAGAGAAAGAGGGTAGGGGGAGGAAAAGAGGGAGAGAAACATCAGCTGGTTGTATGTACCCAGACTGGGGATCAAACCCACAACGTAGGTGTGTTTCTGACCAGGAATCGAACAGCTTTTGGCGTCTAGGACAATACTCCTACGATCTGAGCCACCCGGTCAGGGCCAGACTCCTTTCAACTCTAGAAGTTTAGTATATATCTCAAATGAATATGTTTAAAACTAAGTTCCTGATATTTCCTAAATTTTGAAATTGCTTCTACAGTCTTCCCCATCTCATTCATGACCAGTACATTCTTTCCATTTCCTGCGATTAAAAAAAAAAAACTATAATACTGTGTTTGACTTTTCAACTTCTCTCATGTTTGCTTTATCCACAAAATCTATTTGCTCTACCAGCAAAATATATCCATAATGTGAACTACTCCTCATCACCTTCCCTTGCTGTCACTGTAGTCCAAGCCACTGCGTCTTACGGTTATTGAATTAGCTTCCTAACTGGTCTCACTCCGGCCCTTGCTGCCATTTCAGCTCTTTTCCCTGTACTGGCCAGAATGATCTGTTAAAATAAAAGATTATATCAATCCTCTAAACCTTCCATTGGTTTCTCATCTGAGAGTTAAAGCCAGTGTCTTTATAGTGCCCAGTCGTGTCCAACCTTTTGGCATCTCTGCACTGGAAGAATTGTTAAGGCACAGAGAGGGGCCACAAATTAAATATATTATGACATATAATCACAAATGTCAGTGTCTTAAGTAAATTTACAATTTTGTGATGGGCCACATTCATAGCCATCCTGAGCCACATGTAGCCACATGTAGCCAGAGGGCTTCAGGCTGGACACCCCTGGACAATTTCCCACAGTATCTTACTGTTCTCATTCTGTCTGTTTTGGCCACACTGCCCTCCTTGCTGTTCTCAGGAAAATCCAGGCATACCCCTGTCTCAGAGTCTTTGTACTCTGCTTTCCTTCTGCCTGAAGTGCTCTTTCTCAAGACACCTACCTGACTAGCTCCCTTCCTCACTTTGTACCAAGCCTTGGTTACTTTTCTTGGTCTCCCATCTAAGATTTCAAATACTCTCCCTCACTCCTAATACATTCCCTTCCCTGCTTTATTTTTTCTTCTTACTATTTATCACCATCCAATATAAGTATCGTGTTCATTTTATGTTTAACCCACGAGAATATAGACACCTTCATTGCAGGGTTTTTGTATTTTTAGCTCACTGCTGTCTCCACATAACTCAGAGCAATACCTAGTATGTATTAGGTGCACAATAAATATTGGTTAAACACGTACATATATGAGCAAGGAATGTGTTGAGAAATTAGATGGTCACATTTTTTTCATGGATTTTTAAAAATAACTGCAATCTGTCATTCTAGAGTTAAACCATTCTTTTTCTTGAAGTTTCAGAAAATGATCAGAGCTTTGAGGTGACCATGACTGCAACCACAGAGGTGACAGATGATGATATTACTGAGGGAACTGTGACACAGATCCAGGTATAGTAAGTCTTTTTACCAGCTGCAACAGGACTATCCTTTACACATATTACAGGCGATAAAATAGTGCAAACATTTTGTGTGACAAAGTAGCAACCACAAAATTGAGGTAAGACTTATTATTTCATTCAGGTTCTCAAGTCCCTGCACGTGTGAGTCTCAGAATTGTAAGCAGAGATAGAATTTTAAAACTCATTGCCTGTAGAGTGGTTCACATCTGGTAAAACAGATGATGCATGTGCACTCTTCATCTACACAGAGGGATTTCACTTGAGCTATTAAATAACTGTAGGCTTTATCTTAACCATAAGAAATTGATTGGGGCACAAAGCTTTTTGAGATAGTTTTACCCAGCAGTTTTCTGTAGTGACTGATTTAGATAGGCTGCCTGTGTTCTCTATTTTACGTCAATGGAAGCTATACGCACTTAACTCATTATTGACAGTGTTGAGTATCATGGTTAAAATTTAATCATTATTGCTTCATAAATGGTTATTTACATGCTTAACATTATACAACTTAAGCAATGATTGTAATTCTTCATCAGGAAAATTTAAGCCATGCTGCATTAAGTATTTGCCTGAGGATGGCAGTTAATAAGCACATGCCAGATTTATTCCTAAGATTCATAGAGTGGACTTGGCTGTGTATTTAGACTCAGTTTGCAGAATGGTGATTTTATCTTTTTAACCAACTGATGCATATAATGTGATCTTCTCAGAATACAAGAGACACTATCTAGTCTCTCTAGAGTCTTAGCTTTATAAAGCCCTCTTGGTCTTCAAAAGAAAAAAATCTAAGATATATGACATAGAAATACAGTTATAAAACTTTTCATACTTGTTCAGTGGTTTCTAGCTTTTTGCCCATCGGTTTTTTAAAAAACTGCATTTATGAATGTGATGTATTCATTACCACCAGATATAAAGATAAAGTAGGTGACAACAGAGTTGTGGCTTTTCCCCTTATTTTGCTTTGGTGGTTCAATGATAACTTCTCTTTTCAAGTGAGATGGATTTCATTCTCTCTTGAAATTAGAAATTCATTTTTTCCTTATTCACGGAATAGTCCATGCCCTGGCTAGTGTGGGTTGGTGGACTGAGCACAGACCTGTGAATGAAAGGGTCATTGGTTCAATTCTTGGTCCGGGCACATGCCTGGGGTTGCAGGCCAGGTCCCCTGTAGGGGGTGTGCAAAAAGGCAACCACACATCGATGTTTCTCTCCCTCTCTTTCTATCTCCCTTCTCCTTTGTCTAAAAATAAATAAATAAAATCTTTTTTAAAAAGCAAAGAAATAGTCCAGTCTTGGTTAGGACTTACCTTCAGCCAGTGACATAACTTAGTTGCTGATCCACTGCAGAGACTGCACTCAGTCGCGTGATCACTAGGCATGTAACTCTCCTTATCCTGGTCTGTCTGTGATAATCTCATACCTGGTATGGCAGTACTGTTGTCAAATTTTCCTCTCTTTAGCCCAAGGCCAACTCTTAAAAATGGCTTTGTTCCTGCAGAATTTGATAGATTAGGTATGTATGTAATTGAAAATGTACCCAGTGATAATCGCATAAATATACTGAAAGCCACTGAATTATATAAGGGGTGAATTTTATGGTATCTGAATTATCTTGATAAAGCTTATATTTTAACTATGCATTTCTCCATAAATAATGCCGTAGCTGCAATAATAAAAGTTGTACCACATAATTCTTGGAAAAGAAGGCACATTAATGAGGGTAGAAGTCAGCTCTAGAGGTTGGTTAAAAGAAGTCGTCTGTAAATAGTAAGCAGATAATGATTTTGCAGTAGGGTCTTTTAGCCTGATAATCCTTTAAATTTAATAAGAGATTACATTAAAAATGGCTATTTTAGAAAGAAAACTACCAGTAAGGACATTCACAATCATAACACCCAATCCCAGCATTTCCATTTTATTTTATTTATGAGCTCATTTTATATATAAATATCCAAATGTATATTTGTACTTTTTCAAGATTCTACAGAATGAGCAACTAGATGAAATATCTCCATTGGGTAATGAGGAAGTTTCAGCAGTTAGTCAAGCATGGTTTACTACTAAAGAAGATAAGGATTCTCTGACTAACAAAGGTAAGATACACTGTGAATTTTAGTGCGTACTGGAAAAAGTGAAGATAAAAAGAGCTTTTTAGGTATTTGGATTCTGAGCTGGACCTTCATAATTGTGATTGGTTATGGTAATTGAGCTATTTATGTATTTATATTACATGTATTGGGGTAACATTGGTTACTAAATCCTGTAGGTTTCGAGTATACATTTCTATGATAGATTTCTGTATATTGCATTGTGTGCCCACCACCCACAGTCAAATTGTCTTTCGTCACCATATATTTGGCCCCTGAACCCCTCCATGTGGTAACCACCATACTGTTGTCTGTGTCCTGAGTTTCAGTTTTATATCCCACATAGGAGTGAAATCATATGGTTCTTAGCTTTTTCTGACTGACTTATTTCTAACTGAATTAAATTTGATCCTTTCTAATTGAATTAAATTTGGCACTAAATGACTGTGAATGAAACCAACATTTGTTTTGCAATAATTGATCATTTGGCTGATATGAAATAGATTTTTGTCCTGTTAATTTTTGAACAAATGGATAGTGGTGGCATTTAAAAGACAATATAGTATACTGCTTATGGGAATAGGAACTCAAGCCTTTTCAAAGATCTACTTACTTTGGTCTGATAAATAGCTTAGAGGCTTACTGTCACATGGTGTTTATAGTGCTGCTATGTTCATAAGGATTGCTAGAAAGCTGCTACAAGAAAGTGGGGGTTGTGAACATGCCACTCTGAAGTAAGGAAAGGAAGCAAAAGTAAGTAAAATGTTTTTAACCACTGTAAATACCCAATTAGAATATCTCATTCACTTGGTATCTGGTGCATTATGTTTACCTTGCCCTAGAATCTTTCATATATGTAGTTTTGCCCATAAAATTTATTTTTCACTGAAGATAGTTTTCAGAAGGTTTTAAGCACATTTGGGTTCTTCTAATACTTGCGAGTTTTTTTTACCTGTTCTATACTACTGAAAGGGTGAGAGAAATAACTGAGAGGAAGTAACTTTTTTTTAATCTTTTACTTACCATTAGTAGAGTCAAATGTATTCTTCCTTAAAAATCAGGTTTCGAAAGCAGCTTTACCTGGGGATCTTTCAGGGTTCAGAAGAATGAGAAGTTAAATTAGCTATATTTTATTCAATATATTTAATCAGAAAGCAAATCTTTAATATTTTATTCCACTTAAGGAGTAACATTTTCTATAACATTCTCGTTTTCTTTTAAAGGACATAAATGGAAGCAGGGGATGTGGTCCAAGGAAGAAATTGATATTTTGATGAACAATATCGAACGCTATCTGAAGGTATTTACAGCATTTTTTTATTTGATTCACTAGTTTGTTTACTGCCAATTGCAAAAATATCAAAGCAGCATGTTATACATAAGAGCTTTTCTATAATTTTTGTAATATATGACTGGCTAATGTTATAACTTAATAATTCTAAGGTGTATAATTATAGTATTTTTTTTAATTTTTGAATTCTCTGTTTTATTGCTTTAGTTAATTAACATCCTGAAGTTTAAACAAAATCTTGATAGCCTCCCAGACTCTTAAAGAGCCTTGTCTTTTAAAGCAGCTTATCAATTAGAGTTTATTTTGTCTCAAGTCTAAAATATGCATCTCCTTTGAATGAATTTATGACATACTAGCCCTTCCCTTCTTTAAAAAAAATCAAAAATTTAATTCAATTTTATATTCAGGCTTCAGTTAGTCATCCTTGTTAACAGAATTTTCGAGGCACCAGAGATATGAATTGCCTTAATACAGTGTTTGATTCGAAAAGCCAGCAGTCCATTTGGGAATTTTGACAGTAGGTGAAGAATGATACAAGGCTTTGTATGTGAGTGCTACATGTTGTAAATTCTGTATGAGATCATAGGAAGAAGAGTATTCTCAGGGCTAGGAGTGCTATGGAGAATGTTCACACGAGCAAAGATTTAAGCTGTCTTTTAAAGAGGGTGTAGAACTTAGGCCAAAATAGGGATGGAGGGAATAGCATGCATAAATGCTGAGCATCAAGAAATCAGAGATTAAACCCAGATCATGTTAAATTAACTTTTTTACCTTGAACCAAAATTATGAGCCTCTGAAAACTGGGCTTTGAAGTCCAGACCAAAGAAGTAGAACTCTGCCCTATGGGACATGAGAAAGACTGGTACCTTAGTTAAGTTAGAGATCATTATGGACGGCTGTGCTCTTCCCAGGGATATCTTCCAGAAACTTGCTGACCATTTCCAAAATTAAGTTAGATTTAAATAGTGCACGTTTGAAATGTAGAGCATTAGCATTGTTTGGGAATGGTAGGTGTATAGTATTTTTGTAATCATTCTATTTGATACTTAGTTGCTGCCTGGAAAGACCACATTCTTAGCTTAATTTTAAGCTGCATCCTTCCCAAACTAAGCTTTGTAAACTATAAACAGTTAAAAACTTTTCTTTCTTAATGAACAAAGATCTTTCCCATTAAGCAAATTGTTTTAAGAGAGACAAAAATACAGTGACCATTAAAAATTCATCCAAAGAAAAAAATTAAAATATATCCAAAAGAGTATTAAGTTGACCACTGGTCACATACACTTTAGTTAAGACTGGGAGAAAATGCATGGGTTTCGATAAGACAAGTAATGAGTGGTAAGAACACTGAATTTTGGGAATTTAAGCAGCTGGCTGCTTTTCTAGGGGATTGGAATAGATGATCTCCAAAAACCCCCCCAACTTTATCATTCATGGGAAAGAACATCACTAAAATGTCCTGCAACTTTTTAGATGACTGGGTGAGAGCAGCAGTAAGGACTTGAAACGACAGAGATAGAAAGGGAATTGGCAGGGAGAGGGGCAGTTAAGCAGGTAGTCTCAAAGCAAGTTGCAGGGAGAGGAAATGAAGAGTTGGAGTAACTGAACAGAGTTCCCATTTTGGGTGATTGAGAGAGTAAGGATAGGATCGGCAGAAACAGGAAATGTCGAAAAAGATGTAGATTGTGGGAAAAGATAACTTACTTGATTTTAATTTTTGACCATAGTTGTTATTATGTGGTACTCTTCTAAGGACATTATAGAGACATTTTAAAAACTAAGTATTTAGATGTCATATTTCATATTTCAGGTAAAAGGATAAATGAAAGAAACTGCCACAAGTAAAAACAAACAAATAAAAGAATCTTTTTATCTCACCCAGATGGTTATCCTGCAACACAGTGCCCAGAATATTCTGCAACAGAGAATATTTAGGTTCAATCCCTTACAGAATTGAAACTGCATAAACAAAAGAATTTTAGAAAAGATTCTAAAATTTAGAAACTTTTTGCTGTTAAATTGGTACAGATTTTATACATTCAAAAGAGTTTATAAAATGTGTATCAGTATAATTTATACCTGTTTTTAAATTTTTCTAAATAGGTGAATTCTCTGGGAATTATGTAACTTCTTTTGTTAGATGTTATGATTTTGAAACCAATTCCCTATTGGATTTCTTTAACTGTATTTTATTGTGCAAAATATGTATACTGTAGGTTACCTGTTTCATGGTTAATGGCCTTTTAGGTTTTGGGGTTTTTTTTTTACTTTTTTAAATTTATTTTTATTACAGTTTACATTCAATATTATTTTGTATTGATTTCAGGTGTACAGCATAGTGATTAGGTATTTATATAACTTAGGCATTGATTCCCCCCAATATTTCCAGTACCCACCTGGCACCGTACATAGTTATTAAAATATTATTGAGTATTTTCCCTGTGTTGTATTCACATTCCCATGACTGTTTTGTAACTGCCAATTTGTACTTCTTAATTCCTTCATCTTTTTCACCCAGACCCTCAACAGTTTTTGTTCTTTTTGCCATTAATTCTTACAAATCTGGTGCGTGTGGATGGGATTTTTACTATGACTTGAATTTGTAATTTTCTAAATTACATGTTTTTATATGTTTATTGGACATTTGTGTTTCCTCTTTGAAATTCCTGCTCAATTTTCCTATGGGGTTTTTCTTTTTCTAGATGTACTCAATGTGCCAGATACTAATGGTTTTTCAGTTGTGTTACAGATAGTTCATCTAATTTAGTGGCCGGTTTTTTCCTTCTCTCTCTCCCCAATCCCCAATGTCCCTTCTGTCCTAGGTCAAGCTTCTGTGGATCTGTTTCTAGGTTTCCTGATTTTTTTCCAGGTTCTGTTTGTTGATATCTGCACCCGTGCAGCACTGTCTTCAAAAGTCCAAGTATCTGATGCGGAAAGTCTTTTCATGAGTGTTCTTAGTCCTTTGTTCTTCCATTGTAAATGTAGAGTGAGCTTACAGAGAATGGGGAGCTTTGGGAATTGTTATTGGGGCTGCACTGAGTCTGTGCACCAGTTTCAGGGGAATTAACATCTTTATAATATTCCATCTTCCTATTGAAGAACATTGTATAGCTTTCCATTTTAGCTAGTTTCTCTTTAAATTTTTTTGATAGTTTTATGTTTTCCTTTATAAAGGACTTACATAACTTACCTAAGATTTAATCCTATACTTTTAATTTCGATGCTATTGTAAATGAGAACTTTTAGAGATTTTTATGAGCTTCTTATGGAAGTGCAAATGACTATATTGATTTTGTAACCACTAGCCTTGCTAGATTCTGTTTAAAATCCACTAAGCTTTATAGATTTGGGGGGATATATATATATATACACACACACAGATATATATAATCTGTAAATGACTCATTTCCAGTCTTCATACTTTCAAATGTATTTTTCTTTTATCAGACTATCAGCAAAATCTGACTTTTTAGGAGTGTTCTCATATATGGATATTGAATTCTGTGAATGCTCCATTCACACTTAACTGAGATTTTACATTCTTTTCCATAAATCTATTCATGGGATTAATTATACCAATTTTTCTGAAATTAACACAATTTGAATTACTGCAATGAGCTCACTTTTTCCATTGATTTAATATATTCTTTATATATTGCTGAGTTCAGTACGCTAAAACTCTTAAGGATTTGGGGAATCTGTGTTAATGAATGAGCTTAGGCTGAAAATTATTTTCTGAAACTCTCCTTGTCTGCTTTTGCTGTTAAGGCTTTGCTAGCCTAATAAAATGAACCAGGGGGTGCCCCCCTTTCCTCTGTACTCTGGAATAAAGTCAGAATTGTGTTTCTCTTATTTGATAGGATTTACCTATAAACTGATGTGGGCCTAGGATTTTCATTATTTCACTGTGGTTTTCATTATTGATAACTGATTACATTTTCTTGATGGTCTGTGCTTATTAGATACTTTTCCTGAGTCAGTTTTGGTAAGTTGACTTTTTCTAGGAATTTATTTTATGTATTTTATTTTCAAATTTATTGTCATAAAGTTTTCAGAATGTTCAATTGTCTAGTCTCTGTAGGCCCCGTTTTTTTATTTCTAGTATTGTTTTGTCCTTTTTTCCCTGCTTTTGCCATAACTTTTTCTTTTTGTATTTTATTAGTCTCAGTGGATCTTTTCAGAGAACCAGTTTTTAACATTGCTTATCCTTTCTATTTTTTATTCCTGATTCTGTTGATATTCTTATGGTTTTCTTCCTTCTACTTTCTTTAGATCCTAACTTTTTATAATTTTAAAAGGGGTTGAGAGAACTTGACTTCACTGAATTTTGTACACTTTATTTTTGGAACATTTAAGTATTATTATCGTGCAACATTTTGAAGTTTATACTTACTAATGAATTAATGATACATTATTTTTCAAAATGCCATTATTATCTTTTTAAAATACTATTAAAAAGTATAGTATATCCATATGCATTTTATCAGAAAACCCTAAATCAAAGAAATGTAACCCATTTAGGCACGCGGAATAAAAGATGCTACAGAAATCATCTTTGAGATGTCAAAAGACGAAAGAAAAGATTTCTACAGGACTATAGCATGGGGTCTGAACCGGCCTTTGTTTGCAGTTTATAGAAGAGTGCTTCGCATGTATGATGACAGAAACCATGTGGGAAAGTATGAACACTTGTAATGCTGCATGATTTCATGTAATTAGGGGGAATATTTAAGGAATTCTCTTTTTTTCTTTTAAATCAGGGTTATGACCACAGCCTTAATTGAGACAGCTATACTAAGAATTACTGTTGGGTTGTTTCCCCAAGTCCATGTTGTGAATATGGTGAAACCTCCTTATAATTAAGATCTCTTTTAGAAATTAAATTCTAAAAAACTTTGTATAGGTTTGTCAAAGTCAGCTTTCTAGTAACATTATAAAAACTAATAGTGATTAAAGATTTAGAAAGTGTGAACGCTATAAAATTCATTGTTAACATTTTTCTTACTTATTTTTCTGTCGACAGTATACCATTTTCCTAGTTCAGTGACTTGGTTTTTTAAATCACTAAATTTCTGGATACAGTGCATGGATTTCTGTTATAGGTAACTTGGGAAGGCATCATATTTTCAATGCAATGATTATATGGTGTTTTGACATACTTTTTATTTTCTCTGGGAATTTTAGGTGTTAGTATTATAGTTTTGCTTACTAGATACTGGTATTTTTTTTTGTTTGTTTAATTGTTGTTCAAGTACAGTTTTCTGTCTTTTACTCCCATCCCAGCCCACCCCCCAACTAGATACTATTTTTTAAAAAGAGCATTGCATTGACTGTATTGCATACTTGCCCACTAAAACAAGGAGCCTCTACTTTGGAGCTAGAGCATGTCAGCTGTCCATGCATGGAGAGAGAAAGTGAAGAGACCTTTACATTTTTTAGTGCCTTGTGAGAATTTACCATAGATTTTCTTTCTTGTTCTGGTTTATAGTGTCATCAATAAGTCTTTCAGAATTGCTATGATATTAGATGCCTAAACCAAACTTTTACAGGAAAAATTAGCATAGGAGCAAATATGTTTTAAATATTGAATTTTATAGAGAAAATTGGAAAGGGCTCGTTTTTATTATAGCTAAAAGTATTCTTTGTTTTTTTTTAATAAAAGCATTACTTTTTATTGATCTGCTTTGAAACTGGTTACTTTGAAAATACTATCAGTATGCTAAGTGACTGAATATTTGACTCCTTAATTGAAATTCTGATTTTTATTAAAGTTTTTAACATTCTGTTTCAATTGATCCTTTTTTAAACTTTCTTTAAATTTCTAGATATACACCTGAAGAAATTGAAAAGCTCAAGGAGTAAGTTTAAAATTTTTTATTCATTAATTCTGATAGTTGAGTTCTATTATTATTTTGTCATATATTTTTAAAGTTTTACTTTGAAATGTCAAGAGATTTTTAATAGACTGGTCTAACTTAATCCTGCTGTTAAGCATGATTGACTGTGAAAAGAGCTTACTATTCTATACCTGCAGAGTAGCCATGCCCATAAATTTACTCTCCTCCTATTGTCAGTTAACAAATCAAATGCATCCTTAGACCATTGTCAGGGGTTACAGAAGATATCAGATGGCCATCCTTGGTGGCATAAGCCTAAATCTGGGGAACCTCTACACCAGGATAAAAACCAAGGCTGTGTATGGCTCAGTTTGGGAAGTGACTTGGCCAGGTTTCACTGAGCACCGGTCTGGGCTGTTTCACTTAATCACTGCCTCGTGAAGGCTGTTTCACAAGAGACATAATTTTGCTTCATGGAGTTAGGACCATAAAGGATGAATTAATGTATTGTATGGATCATGAAAAAAGTTGAAGGTTGGTCCTGTTTAGGATGTTAAGGACTTAGGAAACTTTTTCAAATATCTGAGAAGAGCTGGTTGGGAATATTCAAAAGTGAAAAATTTGGGAATTGCCTGGGAGATTGTATCAATAACCTGAGGGGAAATTTGGTCTTTTTTGAACACATATCCAAGTTACTTATTTCTTCTCTGACCCAGGAAAAAGGCAATTGCTGCCTGTCTTTTTTTCACCCACAGACAACTGTGGACCCCCCAAAAAGGCCACACTTTCAAACTTTGGCTCTCAAAGTATTGCTGCCCACAACTTCCAAACCACTCAAATGGGAAGAAGAAGAATGAAGAATAAATGATGAAATTAAAAGGGAGAAAACAGTTGAACCCAATGCTGATTGGCAGACTCTTGTTTTAGGCTCCGGATAAAGCATGGCAATGACTGGGCAACAATAGGGGCGGCGCTAGGAAGAAGTGCCTCTTCCGTCAAAGATCGGTGCCGACTGATGAAGGATACTTGCAACACAGGTACTGGGACTGCTGCTGCTGGGGGTTTGGTCACATTGGAGTTTCTTGCCCCTTCAGATACTTCTTTCTCTTCTGCTCTGGAAAGAAAATTGCCATTCCCTTCAGCTCAAATCTTGTTTTCTAGTCTTCCTTTTTCATCAAGCTCAATAGAGCCAACTAATTATTTCTGTGCTTTTGCATAAAAGTGACACTGTTCACAGAGATAACAGCGTCTCAGTCGCATAGGTTTTAAGTCTAGCATGTTTCCGTTCGGAGCAATTCAGACCTGCCCCAGTTGGGAAGGTACTTACTTTCAAGGATTATATACACGTATTTTTAAGGCAGAAGTAATTTTAATTTAAGCTCATTTGTTGAACTTTTGTTAACAACAGCTTATCAACTCATGTTTAAGAAAAACTTTAGTTCCAAACAAGTCCCAACTTAAAAGCTGTGTTTAATGGTTTTTATACATTTTGCTTATTTTAAAATAAAGTAAATTTTCCATAGGAAAAAACCTGTAATTTGTATGTTTAAGTCCCTAGGCCAAATCACAAATGCCTATTTAATCCTTAATGTATATACATGTATAGATAGCACTGATGAACCTAAATTTTGTGACTAACAACAATATTTAGGCTCTGCCACTAAACTCTCATTTAACCTTTTGAGCCTGTTTTCTCTGTAGAATGAAGAGGTTAGAATAGGTGGTGTCATAATTTCCTTTTAGCCCTAATATTCTCTGAAGTCTCTCATCAGTCCTTTAGTAAGAAAAACAATTCTCAAGTTAAGCTTGAGCTTCCAGGAAACAAATTTCTTTCCTTACCCTCACCCCCCACCAAAGTGGAATCAGTAATATTTCCTGTTTAACCACCCCACCAGCACTATTAGCTGCAAAGTGAAGAAGACATAAATCCTACCAACTCTCATTCTCTGGTTAATGACAACTTAATGAGGCAGGAATGGGAACTTTAGGTATAGGATGTACCCCAGAGGTCCATGTGAGGTGCTGTGAGTACAGAAGCCCCTTCGTAAACAATCTGGACAAACACCCTCCCTTGATAGCTGGCCTGAGGGACTGCTCTGCACCTTAACTTTGTGTTGCTACTTACTGTTTCTGATCAAGAGTTCTCTTTTGTGCCACACCATGAGCAGCAGCCTGGGTTTGCCCTTTCTTTCCTACCATGCTAAAATAGGAGAGCAGGTCATTGTCTTGAATCCATGGTTTCCAGACTCTACCTAGCATGTAGTACAGGCAGTAAGTATTTGTTGATCAAACGAGTCTTTGAATCAAACACTTACCCCTTTTAAATGTTTCCAGAAGTCTTTAGCTACTATTAACAAAATGGAAACAAGGTGTTTTCCTGTTTTTCTACTTGAGCTCCTTAAGAAACGATCAAGAGGAACATAAGGAAGATTAACTTTGATTAGTAGGTTTATAAGTTCAGGAAAAAACTGAATTAAAAATACATGTGAATACCAGTCCCAGACTTACATTTCATCACAGTAGCTTGGAGCTGGAATAGTGGGGAAAGGAGATGGCATAAACCTATTTTTATATTTACCAAAATGGATGGGAGGCCATACAATGTTATTCCACTTTCCCCTCGCCACTTATCCCATAAGTAAAGGTCTCTGTTGAGCCTGCGCCACTTCTGCAGAGCAGGGACACTTCTTAGCTGAGCCTAAGGTAAAAGTAAGTTTCTGTGTCCATCAAGCCGTTGCTGAAGCTCTTCCCACTTAGGACTTAGTATAACTTGAGAGTACATAATTCTTTCTAGTAACGTTTTAGATAGTTTTTCTTACAGAGTCAGCTTGTGCTTTCTGATAGGATTCTCTATTTGTGTGTGTGTGTGTGCTAAGAACCTGACTAGTTTAGTAAAATGCAACTGTCTTACATTTAGTTTCCTACCCGAGTGTCACTCAGAAATACTTTTAATACTACTGCCTACTTCCCATCAGTCCTTGGAAATACAAGGCTGAGTCTGATTTGCAAAAGAAAAAAGAAGGTAGCAGTAGTATTCTGGATGATTTTCTCTTCTTGCAGGAAAGTGGACAGAAGAAGAAGAAAAGAGACTTGCAGAGGTGGTTCATGAATTGACAAGCACTGAACCAGGTGACATCGTCACACAGGGTGTGTCTTGGGCAGCCGTGGCAGAGCGAGTGGGTACCCGCTCAGAAAAGCAGTGTCGTTCTAAATGGCTCAACTACCTGAACTGGAAGCAGAGTGGAGGTACTGAGTGGACCAAGGAAGATGAAATCAATCTCATCCTCAGGTTTGTATCCTTAATCTTTTAATGGCAAAAGTTGGTTAATCACTGTGGGTCTCTTGACTGATTGTCCTCTTTTGGTTTCCCTGGGTGCCTAATGTCTGAAAAGCATCTTTTTCATAGAGAGCCACTGTTTAAGATCCTCTTTCACTTTGCGCCCACTTTTGTTTTGTTCTTTTGGTGGTTTTAGTGCTTGTGCAAAGTACCGGATTAAAGGCGTGGAGACTGAAGTCCTGTATCCACAGAACAGGCGTGGCACGGCCGAGGCAGTGCAGCTTTTCCGCTGTCCCAGTGGTGCCTCGTTTCTGGCCTAGGGGGCCACGCCACGGTGCCAGGGCTGTTCAGTCTCTTTGCCCCGTCTTTGGCCGCTGTGCTAGGACCA